GATACTAAACATGGTAGGGTTATATATATGTAAGCTGACAGGAGTGTGTTTCGATTATAAGCCTGCATAACAGTATACAATTTCAAAGACAAAATACATGATGACAATAATATACCCAATGACCTGAAGGATCATGTGTGTTCATTCAAAGAAAGGTTTTCCTATTAATTAATTAGCAAAGAAAAGTCCTTCCCTTGTGGATTTTCCTTATGGGCAAGGAAGCGATTTTCTTCACCTAAATTCCAGGAGGTCGTAAATCTATCGGGTGTCAGGGTTGCCATGGAACCAGGGGCCTGTTCTGCTTCCTGGGGTGTTACAGAGTATTTGTTAAATCTAGCTAACAAAATATATATTGTGTGTTTGAGTGGTCCAGACGCTACACAAACAAACACTAGCTTTCTATTTTTTCTATTCTATCTACTTGTTTTTCTTTGTGTGTGTGTGTGTGTGTATGTGTATAATATATAAACAGTATATATACATATATATACACCTTGCTACGTGTACTGCGTTAGGCTAACCGAGACTTGTCATTTGCACTTATATATTGTTGCTCTTTTGTTAGTTTTGACTGCTTTTATTGTCCTCATTTGTAAGTCGCTTTGGATAAAAGCGTCTGCTAAATGACTAAATGTAAATGTAAATGTGCAGAAATTATCTGAGACCAAGTGACAGCTGCATTCACAACAAATCACGGGTAACTCCCAGCCTTTATCCTTTCATACTTATTCTATCAAGTTGTAGAGACACAAAAAGAAATAAACTTTACTGTTGTCTGAATGTTTTTAATGGAAAAGTGTGCATGCCGGCTCCTCATAGCTGAGTTTATTACTCAGCCTGACAGCATTTGATGAATGTTTGGCTGACTGTTCTTTAACATGAAAATTATTACCCTGCTCCCCTTCACTCACAGGTGATTATCTGCAATGACAAACTTGGATTTGTTTCTCATAGGCTTTGCTTTGGTGCATCAATATAATTGTGTTAAGTAAACTATCCCTGTGTCAGAATATGTGTAATTCCCTACACAGTGTGAAAAAAAGCAGTACATCAAATGAGTTGGATCTGAAAATACTCTGTTTTTTTTTATACAGCAAGTGAACAACACCTGGATGTTCTTGTTAGTAAATGTATTGTCTCAGTTGTTGTTAGTATGTCACAGATCAACGGACAAAGGCAACATGGCGGATGTACAGTAGTATGTTCAGTGTCATGGGCGTGACTTCAGATATGGCAAAAATGCACTACCAATCAGAAGGTTCAAGTGAGTTTTTTTTTTTTTAAGAAGTCTCTAATGCTCACCAAGGCTGCAATTATTTGATCAAAATACTGTAAAAACAGAAATATTGTGAAAATTGTATGCAATGTTTTGTATATATGGTATCTTGTGGTATCTCTAAGAGCACGTACAGATGCATCTCAATAAATTAGAATGTCGTGGAAAAGTTAATTTATTTCAGTAATTCAACTCAAATTGTGAAACTCGTGTAGTAAATAAATTCAATGCACACATACTGAAGTAGTTTAAGTCTTTGGTTCTTTTAATTGTGATGATTTTGGCTCACATTTAACAAAAACCCACCAATTCACTATCTCAACCAATTAGAATATGGTGACATGCCAATCAGCTAATCAACTCAAAACACCTGCAAAGGTTTCCTGAGCCTTCAAAATGGTCTCTCAGTTTGGTTCACTAGGCCAGTGTTTCCCAACCGGGGTGCCGTCTGTCGAGAGCAGGGGTGCCGTGTAAAAAAAAAAACATTTTTTTATATTTTTAAATTGCTAAAATGTTAAAAAGAGCATCTATTATATAATATCCATTTCTGATGTCGCCAATAATTAGAGATGCACCGAAATTCCGGCTGCCGAAAATTAGTTCACCGCTCAGGTTTCCCTTTCCCGTGGTGTGACGCTCTGCGTATTATCCCGCTCTATGCGTGTGCGCTCCGCTCAGTCCCTCCACTTGTATACCGTTCATGCGAATAGGAACGGCAAAGTCCACTCAAAAATTGAGCCGACAGGAAACATCGATGTAGTACAGGATTGTTTCTGTCTGCAATAGCCCTACTGTGCTGTAACATGGTGTGGTGTGCTGCCCTCTCATTCATTGATCTGCTAACCGCTATGTTCTGCTCACGTGTTCTGATAATAATAGCTTTCTAGGACTAAACATTATTTCGATAATTGGTTAAAAAAAAAAATTCTTAACCCTACTGTTAGACCAGATTCAATTCAAAGTTTGAAATCAAGCTATCTCGCGCTACTGCACCAAAATTACCCCACTGTAAAATTAAAAAAACACTGCGTGAGCAAGTATTTGTGAGATAGCTATTTATAATGGTAATTAAATAATGTTTACATATGTATAAAAGCCTACATTAGAATCTGTCATATAAATTGGTCTCTTCATTAGAAATTAGCCTACTGATTATCACCATTGATGGACAAAATGTTTTAATAATATTAAAAATATCTGTATGACATTTATATTCTGCAGTTCTTCCCTGTTGTACCGAATATCTATACTTTTCAAATTATCATATTGAAGTTAAAAATTCAAATATTGTGACAAAATTAATTTTGTAGGGTGCCACAAGTTTGTTAAAATTTCCAAAGGGTGCCGCGACTAAAAAAAGGTTGGGAAACACTGCTTTAGAAGACAAAGCATTTTCACAAATAAATAAATATTTAATAAAAATCTAATTAAAAAGGAAGTAGACACTGTAACCAACAGGGCACTCAGCATTCTGGGAAGTTTGTGTGCATTGGGAATAATTTTTTCTTCTTCAAATAAAGCCAAGGTAACACTCATTTTACATACAGCACGCAATGAAAATTACACGAATATGACAGCGGGCAAATGCATAAAGCGCAGCATAATTTGAAATCACTAGTTTAAAGTTTGTCAATCGCGCGTCTCCAGTGAAGCTGAACTCTCCTCCTGTCAGCATTCAATTTGCAAGGGCCGACCTTCACGCAGAGAACACGCGATCATGCAGGATACAAATGCACACTTCACAAGAAAACATCGATGTAGTACAGTATTGTTTCTGTCTGCAATAGCCCTACTGTGTTGTAACTCTGGTATCGCTGCTCTCTCATTCATTGATCTTCTAACCGCTATGTTATGCTCACTTGTTCTGATAATAATAGCTTTCTAGGACTAAACATTATTTCGATAATTGGTTAAAAAAAAAAATTCTTAACCCTACTGTTAGACCAGATTCAATTCAAAGTTTCTCGCGCTACTGCACCAAAATTACCCCACTGTAAAATTAAAAAAACACTGCGTGAGCAAGTATTTGTGAGATAGCTATTTATAATGGTAATTAAATAATGTTTACATATGTATAAAAGCCTACATTAAAATCTGTCATATAAATTGGTCTCTTCATTAGAAATTAGCCTACCGATTGCCACCATTGATGGACAAAATGTTTTAATAATATAAAAAAATATCTGTACGACATTATATTCTGCAGTTCTTCCCTGTTGTACCGAATATCTATACTTTTCAAATGATCATATTGAAGTTAAAAATTCAAATATTGTGACAATTTATTTTGTAGGGTGCCACAAGTGTGTTAATTTCCAAAGGGTGCCGCGACTAAAAAAAAGGTTGGGAAACACTGTAGTAGAGTTTTGAATAAAATTATAAAGAATAAATAAATTAATAAATAAAATTACATTACAATATTACTCACTGGAAAAAAAAGGATCCCAGTATTGGACGGTCTGTTAATACAATTAACCACACAACAAGACATTTTATTTGATAATTTTAAGAAATAATCACGAAAATAACCCATAGACTGGATAAAACAAAAGCAGAAACACGGCAGAGATGCCAAGTTCAGCGGCTGATAGAGACAGCAGCGGCAGTCCACCGGTGGCCACGCCCTTAATTATGCAGAATTTTAAGGCTTAATATAATTTAAACGGATGAGTTATAAAAAAAATTCACCCCCCTCACAGTTGTCATGAAGGGCAAAATTAGTTATATCGACCAAAATCATTTTTTGAACCAGGCTGTAAACATGTTTTTTTTCTGCTGTAAAGTTGGGCATTTTAACATGGGGAGTCTATGGGATTGACTCCCTTTTGCAGCCAGCCTGTAGCGGCCAGTCGATGAATTACAGTTTAAAACACTTCCTTGTTGGCTTCATGAGAGAGAGCGGGAGGTTGCCGCTCGATTAAATCGGATCCGTGCATCAGGTCTTAAAGGGACAGTGGCCTATAAATACTGCTGCTGTCATTAATGATCATCAAACAAAACGGCTGTGATAAAAATCTAAATTTCATTTATACAGTGAACACTAAGCAGTGTTATTTTCTCTAATTATTAAATTTCTGTATTTGAATACTACCAACCTTATTTTATTTGTAACATATTCTGTTGTATTTATATATGCTTGTAATTTGTGTATTTGTTCTTATTTTTACTGGCTGTTCTCTTGTCTCTTTAATCATGTTTAAACTTTCTTAGTTAATCTAGTAGTATTTGCTGTGGTATCAAAGAAGTACTTCGCGTTAAGTAATAAATGGAAAGCAAGTTCAATTTAAATATTTTTCTTGTCTTGCTGATCCGAAAAATGCTCCGATCCGTGGGTCAGAAACCGTAATGTGATCCGAACTGTGAGATTTGTGATCCGTTGAACCACTAGCAAGAATCCATTAAATTGATCAAAAGTTACACTTTGTTACTACATTGTTAAAAAATTCTGATAGGAAAAACACTTTTTAACATTGACAATTAATATTGAATAATGTCAGCATATTACAATGATTTCTGATAGATCACTGATGTGACACTGAAGACTGGAGTAATTATGAAGAAATTACATTTTAAAATATATTTAAATAGAAAAGTTATTTTAAAATTGTAATGAAATTTCAAATATTACTTTAATACTTTTGATAGCAGCATTTGCTATAAGAGTAATCTTCAGCATAGTTTTGTACATTTCTCTTTCAATAACTCCGCCTTTTTGCTGCAGACCAAGGCTAGGAGCATTACTGCATAGGGTGGTGGGGATTGGACTGCTCTACCTTATCTTCTCCATCATAGAAGGTGTACTGAGAGTCAACACGGTAAGGAGAGTCTCACAGCTAAACCTGAACACAATTTCACTAAAAATGAAAAATAGTGACCAGTGGAGAAACATGTCCACCTTTGTGGCAAACCTCCTAATTTAACGTAATGATGATGCTGCACCAAATGTCACGTGAAGCTTAATGTTTCTCTCTCGCAGGAGCACGGTGGTTCAAGCAGGCTGCTTTGTGACATTGTTATGGCCCTCATTGATTCTTGTATTGTGTGGTGGATATCCTTTCACAAGTCGATCATCTGTTAAGACTGTGTGTTCATTTTGTGCTGTTATTACAGTGACTTCTGCATGGTGTAGATTGGGACAGATAAATGGAAATGAAAGTAGATCGAACCGGGTAGATTTTTTGTGGTTACAAGTGTATACAGTTCACTCTGTTAATTTTTTTTTAGGAAGCCATGTTATGGAAATTTTAGTCTCTCTTTGCTCTTCTCAGTTTCTTTGGCTCATGTGGTGGTGGTGTGCAGCTGGGATAATGCTTTGTAAAATATATTTTTTCTGTCTTGCCTCAAAGCTAGTAGCATGCTCTACCTTTGTTGGGCTGAATGGTGGTTATGGTTTTGCAATGTGTGAGTACTAGGGCTGGGCGATGTAATAAATATTAAGCTGTATTTGTGATGATTCTGATTGCAATATTAAGCACCATACTAGGTGTTTTAACACTATTTGGAGGTGAAAAATGGATAATTACAATAGTTCGTAAGATCTGTTCATTTCTGTTAATCAGTTTAAACTGTACATTTCTGATTCAACGATTCACTTAAAAATAGGAAAATATTATTGTTTTAGTAATAGTAATGCTTGCATACACTACTGTTCAGACATTTGGGATGAATTAAAATGGTAAAAATTGAAAGACTTCTACATTGAAACCAAAAAAAGTTTTATTCGTCAAAGAATCCTAAAAAAAAGTTTCAGGATTTCTACAAAAATAAGCAGCACAACTTTTTTTAAACATCGATCATAATAAGAAATGTTTATTGAGCACCAAATCAGCATATTAGAATGATTTCATGTGACACTAAAGACTGGAATAATGGCTGCTTAAAATTCAGCTTTGCCATAACATAACAAATTATCAAAAAATAAGTAAATAAATAAATAATGGTCACCGTTTCAAGCCGTATCAGCGCAAATGCATAAATATTGAGGGACTGAATATCATAAATAGCCAATCGCCCAGCCCTGTGTAGGTTCCTCTGATGGTGGTGTGTGTGTGGCGATGGTGCTACTCTTCTCTGTCTTTCCCCTCTCTCTCTCTCTCTTCCCCCTATATTGTTCTGCCAGGCTGAAGATGACCTGGTGTTGCTGGCTGCCATCCCCTTGGCTATTCTCGACTCTACCCTCTGCTGGTGGATATCCTACGTTTCTCCATTGCTGTTTGTGCGTGTCCCTCTTTCTCTCTTAATGGGCTGTGTAACAGTGGCCCTGCATATGTGGGATGTTGATCACCCCTCTTTTTGTTCTCCTTTGTGATTTCTGGGATTTTTTTGTACTCCTAATGCTTGAGGACACCTAAAGGACAAACCTGTGCACGTTTACAGTCAGGAAGACTCTATGCAGTTCTCTACATTTTCTGTTTCACGTCTCTTTTATTTTTTTACTGCCAAGTAAATTGTTTGCATTAGATTGTGTAAGAACAGGAAGTCGCTGAGCCCTAGTGATCAGATATAGTCCTTGACACTCAGTCACATCTTCATTAGCCTGGCCCAGACGATGAAGCTCCTTCGACTGAGGAGAAATGTGGTCAAGCTGTCCCTTTACCGACACTTCACCAACACTCTCATATTCGCTGTCTTTGGTGAGCATATGCGTCACACTACTAAATTATTGTGCAAAGTGTCTTTGACAGGATTACAGTACTGCATTGAAACTGCCAGTGATTAATGTCCGTGTAATTTTCGCATACTGAATTATGATTGGTCTGTGTCAAACATCTGGGTTACATGATTTATTAATGGAAAGTAAGCCGTAATTGGGGACATTCAATCTCAGTCTCTCTTTCTTGCTATATTTAGGTTTACAACTTTTCAAACTATAATTTTACTGAAAACTTGCTAGCACTGATATTTCCTTAATGATACACTACCTTTCAAAAGTTTAGGGTCAGTAAGACAAAAGATTAATATTTCTTAATAAATACTGTTATTTTTCACTTTCTTTTCATCAAAGAATCCTGAGAAAAAATTAGTTTTCCACAAGTGTATTGAGCAACGCAACTGTTTTCAGTATGCTTTTTGAGCACCAAATCAGTATATTAGAATGATTTCTGAAGGATCATGTGACACAGAAGACTGGAGTAATGACTACTGATTATTCAGTTTTGCCATCACAGGAATTAATGACATTTTAAAACGTTAAAATAGAAAACAGTTATTTTAAATTGTAATAATATTTCCCAATATTATTGTTTTACTGTATTAATGATAAAAGATTTTCTTTCAATGAAGTAAAACTAGTTTTAGAATTTTTATCTGAAATAAATTTTTTAAAAACGTTTCTTTTCTTCGCCATTAATATAGCCGTTATAGCTGGTAACTATAAACAAACAAACAGTATTAATGATCTAATAAAAGCAGCCTTGGGGAGCAAAATAGATGCCTTTTTTTTTTTTTTTACATAAAAATTGGTAACACTTTATTTTAAGGTGTCCTTGTTACAAGTTACATGTACTTTTACTTACTATTATAATAACAATAAATAATGCATAATTGCATGCAAGTAACCCTAAGCCAAACCCTAATCTTGTATTTATAATTGAATGTATAATTACACTGTAACAAGGACACCTTAAAATAAAGTGTAACCTAAAAACCTTACTCAGCCCAAACTTTTGAAATAAAGTGTTTCCATATAGTTATTTTGCTTTCTTTTTTTTGCCACATGTTCTCATAATGAAATTCTGCTTCTCTTTCAGCTTCTGTTATATTTATTGTGTGGACAACGAAGACGTTCAAGTTATCCAAGTGCCAGTCTGTAAGCCTTCTCTCTTTATATGTAATATGTCTTCTGTTTTTTAGTTAAACCCATATACTTTTAATGACGCCTCCTTGCCTTCACAACTACTCTTGTAGGACTGGAGAGAGCTGTGGATCGATGATGCCTTCTGGCGCTTCCTGTTCTCTAGTATCCTGCTTGTCATCATGTTCTTATGGAGGCCGTCAGCCAACAACCAGAGGTAAAACACTTCACCTCTATCCATGTGTCAACCCCACTCCGTTTAATAGTAGAAACAAGATTGTCAATCCTTGTCCTTCTGAACCCTTCAGGTATGCCTTCAGTCCACTGGTGGATGAGGTTAGTGAGGAAGAAGAGGAGCAGTTAATGAATGAAGCCTTCGGTAAGAGTCTTAATTAAAAAATTTGCAGGTGTGAGACCGAAGTAGTGGCCTGTATTTAAAGATGGAGAAATAATTCTGCACATGGGATCTTCACAAGCTGCCTTACGTTCTCCACTAAATAGGATGTATTTGATTTAAAGTTGTGATGAAACAGAGTTGTCACGGTTGATGATTGGATGTTGAGATGTGGATGTTGAGATGTGGGTGTTGCACTCAAAAGGGGAGGCAGATGTACATGAGCTTGCAGGGATGGGTTTAAACAAACTAAATGATTGGTGAAGTTATGACAGATTATGTCATTTGAACAAAAAATTACTAGGTCAGTTTTTTTTAATAAACGTATACATAGAGAAACGTTTACAATAAGATCTATAACGTGCATTTAGAAAATAGGGTCATTTTTCATTTCATGCCAACTTAAAAACAACATGCAGTTTACATTTCATTGGCACACTTGAATGCTGCCTATTAAGTCTGCAGATCTGGTTATCAGCCTTTGTTTGCTGTGCTTTCATTTGACTGCGTTTAGCCGGTTCTAACCAGTTAAACTTGAATTCACAGATGGTGTGAAAATGAGAGGGATGAAACCAGAGACCAATGGAAGTGCAAAACCCAGCAAAGTGGTAATTCATAACAATACTTGGCATAAAAAAATGGAATTGTTTCATGAAAATAAGCATCTTGTATTGCCATATATAAGAATGCCCTATGAAGGATTAGACATGCTGTTTACATATAAAAACACCATATTGTGTGGAAACAATTGCTTATTGTTGTGTATTTTCAAATATGCTACATATTTTTGGTGATGTCAAGGCCTTCACCTCATGGTAAATTTGTTTTATATTCCATCCAGGATGAAGATCTCAAATGGGTCGAGGAGAACATTCCCTCATCAATGGCTGATGTGTAAGTCCAGGGATCATATAAAAGTCATGTGTATAGAAATTATCGTTAGAATGATAGCCCCCCCCTCTTATTAGTTACATAAAGATGGGAAAACATGTAAGATAAAAGCTCTCTCTTCTGGTTTTCTTTAATTCGTCAGTATGCTTTCACAAATTAACAGTACCTCTCTGACCTAGTGGTATTTTCAGTAAAAGTGGCCATTAAGTGTCAGCTTGTTGACCTGTGCACCATTAAGCAGATTGCCTTTCAATGGATTTATCTGACGTGAGTTTTTAATGCTCTGTGTCATAGTTAATAGACACTCGCCTGGGTACAGGTAGATGACGAGGGAAAATGAGGTTGCAAGTTTTGTCTGTCAACACTGTCTAAAACAAAGGGCAGAGGTGGGGTTTTTTCTCCCAATTGATTCTAACTCATCTTTTTTTTTTTACCAGTTAAACTGCTGGCCACAGTATATTTAGCAGCATATGCAAATGCATATTGTAAATAAAAGTATTTTTATACCAAAACAAACAGTAAAAAGTTAATGACCCTTCTTGACATGAGACGTAATGCTTTGACTACATATGCTAAATCTGTAAAGTCCACCCGGGTCGTGCTGTTGATAGGTATTAATTTCTTCTCAAAGCCACATTCAAAAGTCTGTCATGCAGAGTGTCAGTTTCACCCACTTGCCAATACAGTCTTAATATCTCTCTCCTGTTTTGTCCCTGTTAAGTCAGCTCATTATCTGTTAATACTTCCAAACGGTTCTTCATTAACCCTGACCCCGCTGTGTGCTATTGGGAATGCTGCACCAAACCTGTTGCTAGGATTTCTGTTAAGCTGCAACGTTCTAATTGCATGATTTAGTGTAAATAGTTGACGGTGTGATGGTCGTCAAGGATGGTACAGTCATAATCACCTGAGCTCAATACAAATATCAAGGGGATAGAGTAGGATATTAAATGACAGTTAAAGTAATCCAATATAAATTGACATTTGCCATAATACAGTGTTCATATGAGGGGTTTTATGTAATGTGTGTTCCCATTTCCAACATGCAAATTA